TGAGCCCATTCTGACTTACCAATTCGGACTGAGGGCCTGATAACCCTTGTAAAATGGTACATTTGTATGTGAAGTACTCAATAAAAGCATTTTCTAGGATTTTGTTCAAGGCAAACTGCAATTTTTGTACGAAAATATTAGGGAACCGAATACCTACTTGCCCATAAATTTGATCCAAAAACGACATTTTTTGGAATTTCTTCCGAAAATGACACTTTTGTATGAAAAATCATTCAAAAAGCCATTTTTCAGGGTTTTGGTCAAGGCAAACTGATATATTTTTTTGCAATTTTTTTCTGTCCAAAATCGACATATTTTGAAAATTTTCTCCAAAACGATCGAAATAGCGATTTTTTGAAGTTCTAGGAAAAGTTTGGATTACGTATGTAATTCGTTTTATTTAAAGTAAGTATTGCATGAGCACACCGAATACAATTCAATGCAATGTGATAACTGATAAGAAACGTTGTCTAAATTACATGGAAACACTTTAGCAATAGTTCCATGTAAATTTAGCGATAACCTTTGACTACAAAAAGATGATGTAAAGAGGATGCAATGTAGCATATTACGTTCGAAAGTATGTGTCGAGATAAGAAAAACCCGACCTCCGTTTTGCGATATTAGCTCCGGTTTCAGAGTAACGCTTATGCGAAGTTTGCTGGCAGAGATGGAAAAAACACTCTGTATGTGTATGCCTGGTCCAAAAAAAAAGTTGTCTCTCATCTGAAAAGTCCGACCAGTTCGGGAAGATATACCTCAAAAAAATAGATTTTGCGCAAAGAACACATATGAGTACCATATAAAATTCCGTGGCAAGCCCTATATCGAAATTTTCATGACAGTGTTTTCGGAAGCCATTTTAGATCGCAACATTTCGACCAATTCTATTATTCTAGCCAATTTTTGGTAGAAACTAATCATAAGGTTTCGTTTGAATCGTCAATATCTACAACTGTTACCAAGACATCAGAAAGAATGGCAATTTTTCTGTATTTTTTACATTGTTCAGTTTTGGATTTGTGTCGTGTAGCGAAAACCAGTAAAAACATTTTGGTACTTATGAGATTGCGTTTTGGATGAAATTTTGCGACAATTGATACAGACATAAAAGACAAATTTCTCACCAAAATGAGCAAGTTACGACCATGGGCTTCTTTTTGACAGCTAAGAGCAAATAATTTCTTCCTTGGCTGCTTTTGAACATCTAGTATGATCCCTTACAAACATTTTGAGTGTTTACATGACCAAAATCGATAGATATTCTTACATATTTCTAGCCTTATATTCGATTGGTTCGATTTCAACTCTGAAATTTGAAATGTTTAAAATAAGTAGAAAAACTGAAGAATATATTTCGGTATTTAATCATCTTATTGTTGCTAAACAGAGTTATTTTTGATAATATTATTATGTACTATAAATAGTTTGCAAAATAATCGGCTTGAATATTGTGACTAGTGTTTTGCTCATTGATAACGAATCCAACTATGAATTGACAAGGGTACGTTTGTCAATGCCTTAATTGTTATTTTCCGATTTTTATCATTAGAATACCAATCAATGTTAAGTTATTCAATACTCTCTTTTGTATATTGATTTGATTTAAGGCATTATGTACATATCTTTCATTCATCCCGTCATATAATTGTAAAAATTGGCAAAAATTTGAGCCAGAATGTTTTCTTCGATCAGAAGAAACCATACAAGAACGTAACCAATAGTCGTTGTTGATAGCAGTTGTTCAACAGCAGCGCTACATATCCAGTAGATTCAATGCTCTGCATCCAAGCGTCACATAAAATGATTTCAGTCATTTTGAGTGGTAAATCCACACACCGGAGCGTCATTCCATTTTAACCTCGTCCAGAGGATCTTCGTCTGATTTTATTATCTATTTGGGACATATAAGAATAAAAGTAATAAAACAGCCCAAGGTCAATTTGATTGTTGATTCGAAACATCAACTTTTATTGATGTTAAAGTAATTTCATTTTTAATGTGGAACTTGAACATTTTCATTTCTACGTTATTTGAACATAAATTCGATTGTATTTCTTCATTGGTACTTGGTAACGATAAGCTATAATGTGCAGATTGCGAATGCGAATCATCACTCGAATTGGAACTGCTTTCCTCTGTTGCATCGCTTACTTCATCTATTTCGACTGCCATTGAGGATTCGTTATCTCTATCTTCATCATCTACGCCATCATCATGACATCATAAGGTCATACCTATTTACAAACAATGAAATTATTCTTCGAGAAATTGGAGCTAAAGATTTAAAACTGTTTATTTTAGCTAATCAAGAGATTCATTATTTGAGGCAGTCTAGTTTTCTTACAGAATTGAAAGAATTATTATAATTACAAGTTCGGACTTGTAAAATTACCATTTACCCTGACTCGTATATGACATATAAGTCCCATTGGTCCCATTCAGAAAATGAGTTCGGGTTTTCTCCAGTAATGCTGTGCAGCTTTACCTGAAATGTTTCCATGGTTGATACGATTTTCAGTTCATTAGCAGTTTCATATTATTATTCAGTCTATTTGCTGATATTTAAGAGATTCGGAGAGAAAAATCAAGCAATCAACATCTATTTTTGACATAAGAAATATAAAAAATTTATTGAAAAAAAGTTTTGCCTACATATGCATCATATATTCTAAATAACAACAATTCTACAATGTTTTCAATAGGTTAAATACAAAACTTCCAATAAAATTGATTAAATGGTTAAAAAAAGGAATAAAAATGGGCAAAGTGGAAAAAATATTCTATCTATTGTGGCTATTGTGATATAATTTTCTCGAAATTATAATATTTATCCAATTGATCGTTGCAATTGTGCATAGAGAATGTTCCATGCATTAAATATTTGCCCCTTCCAATCAATTCCAAATCAATGGTTTCTTTGTGAAAATCGTCTAATTTCCGAAAATCGCCGCCCGATAATTGGATCATCCATGTTGTGTATGGACTCAAAAATGCCTCATTATCAGCAATTTTACGATGCACATCGTTCGGCCCAACCCATTGACCATTCACAAAGTGATGAACAATTTCAACGTTTCGATCTAATGGTATGCAGTAAATACGTTTGTTACAGCGATAGTTATTATTTCCAATCATTGTCATGTTAATGAGAAAACCATTCAATCGTCCATTAAAACGATTTTGTGCAGTTTCATTTTGCAATTTGAATCGAAGTTGGATTTCATTAAATTTGACCGCATTTAAATCAACGCCCTTCATTATATCAGCTGCAATAATGATCGATTCGCCTTTGAATAAATTTCGAATTTCGTTTCGAATTGTGTGGTGTTTCCATATATAAAATGGTGGTAGAAGCTCTCCATCAAATCCAATGTCACTAAACGTTACATTCTCATATTCATTGGACAGAATCTTTTTTTCTTTGATCGTACTCTGCAGCGATGTGATTTTTTCAATAGAATTTTCGATCAAAGATGCGGTGTCGTTCGTTTTCAAACTCAGTGGCAAGTCATAGTTTCGTACAAATAGATGAACGACTGGAAAGTAATGCTGTGCTACAGCACGCATGGCTAAATTGTATTTTTCCAACACCAGATTCGATTTGATAACGTGCTGTAAGCGAGTGATTGCGTCGAGAAATACGGGATCTTCAACACGGATTTCAATTGCATTCGGAGATGCAATATTCGCAATATACTGGGCCAATTGCTTACTTTCCACATACGATTCAATGTGATCGTAAACATCGATCAATGTGTTAATTCCCTCGTCAATTTTTGTAAAACACGATTGCAAATCCAATTCGATCGAAAATTGAAATTTCATGAGTTTTGCAAATTGTAATTTCAAATCGCGGAGAAAATTTTGTATTTCCCATTTTTGCATATCTAATTCGGTGCGCTGTTTACCGGTTAATTTGTCATATAATTCATTGACTTTTTTATCCATCAACTCAACCTGCAGCATTGTATTGTTGGAAATTTCGTTGTGCACTGCTTTCAATTTTTGTAAATTTTCTTTTGCTACTGAAATCGAATCGCTAACGACCTTCAATTTGTTTGCATCACTTTTATAACGGTTAAATACTTCAACCGCCATTTCACCAGCACTTGCCACTGTTTGCGCATGACCAAGGAAACGCACATATTTGTCAATTTTTCGTTGCATTTCCGGCTGCCGAGCTTCTAATCCGGCCTTCCTTTGTTCCATTACTGTTTTTTCTTCCAATAATAAGTCTTTCAATTCATTTTTTTTCTGATCGATTGTAGCTGTGAATCGTCGATTATAAGAACCGTCTTCCATATCCTTTATGAATTCCTTACATTCTTTCACTTTTTCTTTTATTTTTTCTTTTATTTTTACATAATCGCTTTTCGATGGCATTGCGGTTGATTGCATTCCCTCATTGTCATAGTCTTTGATTCTAGTGTCGATTTCGGCAATTTGTGCTTTGAATAATGCAGCTTTATTGTTAAGTTGGGCACTCAGTTGGGTGAGAGATGTTCGAATTACTGGTAATGGAGATATTACGCCTATCGATGGATCCCCTGTACCAATCACTAGACTTTCAATAGTCGACGCCGCAGAAGTTATTAGTCCACCGGCAATCGCCCCGTGTGGACCGAATACACTTAATAATGGACTAAAAATTTTAAATGGAGCCAACGTACTCCGAATTGCCATTGCTTTTTCCAAATCTCTTTTCTGTTTTTCGTATTTGATTATATCATCGGCTGCTGATTGTTCCTTCTGTATTGTTTCGTGTACCATTTGATCTATATGTTGATCGATTTCATTGAAAAGACCATCGATTGTCGGTTTGATTTGTTTTTCTATCAATTCATGTGCTGATCCCATTTTTTTATTTAATAAACTTTCATACTGATTTCTATACTCAATAATGGCCACTTTTGATTCGATTTCTTTTAATTTTTCGATTGATTCTTTGACTGAACCAAGAAATTCGTCCAAATCGTAAACGGTATTATTCCCAATTCGATTTTTCATGCCGAAGATTTTACTTAATGCTGCTGTATATAAATAGCTCAATATTTTCTTTTCTTCCTTTTTGATCGGCCCATTTATTGCATGTTCGGAGATTCGATGCAAAAGCGATTCATAAAATGGTGCCAGCGAAATGTGATTTTCTAATTTGAAAAATTGATGCTCTAAACCGTCCAGTTCATCGATTAAACCAAGTATTTTGTATTCGTCTACTATCTGCGTATTTTTTGCAATTTTCTCTAAGAATGTGCTCAGTTTCCGTTCTCGAATATTTGTTGGTAGTTTTTCCCGGACATAGCTCTTGTATTTGTTTATGATTCGCCACAATTGTTTAAATTCAATTGTTATTTGTGGTTTTTGGCCTTTATCACTCAAACCATCCGTTCCATTTGTACTTGGGTTGGTGTAAGTATATTCAGAATATGATCTTTCTTCTTCTCTGTATGGATCATAAACACAGACCATATTGCGCCCATTGACTGCTATTTTGCCACCTATTCCACCTTTCCCTGCCGTTCCACTGTTAGCTAGATTATTTTATGAAATATAAAGAAATAATTTTTCTAATCACTTTTCCGAGGCATTTATCTCTGACAAATCATTGTGATTCATAAACAGGGCCGAAGTAAATATTTATTTAAATAAAAAATATTTAAATAAATATTTCGACGTTTTAAATATGATAATAAATAATATTTACGTAAATATTTTGGCGTTTTTGCCTCCATATATTCGACATGCAACGAAATCAATACAAATGTCTCTATTCTTCGAAAACACACATTTATACAAAATTTGCAAATTTTCATTGTTGTCAACTAGTCAGCGCTATTGTTATTGTTTAAACTTATCACTATCATCGACCAATGAAATTAATTTTAAATAAGTGAAATAAATGTCTGTATACACAGTAATATGTAAAAGTCTGTATACTATACAGCAAATTTATTTCTCATTTAAAATATTTATATTGGGGTTTTCGTTGTATGCAATTAGATGTTTTAATGTAATCGCGAGGGACTGTTTTTGATTGTGTCGCCAGTACTTTTCAAATCACAAAGATGTTTTGAGCGACAATCTTCTATCATTGTTGTGTGAAAACTTGAAAAAAAATGTTGCCAATGCTTGTAATCAATTGGAATAATGAAAGAGACACTTCCATAAATTCTTAGGAAGATCCAAGAATTGATTTTTTACTTTTCCGTACACAACGTGTCAAGGGAAAGTATAGGAATTGGTCCCGAAACCTTTTTTCGCAAAATTAGCTTAGATCATCATAAAAACTCATGAAACGCGTAGAAAACCACTTTTTGAGACACTTTTCCGTTCGTGTGCCGTCGTTGTCGTCGTTTTCGTTGTCGTTGTCGTTGTCGTTGTCGTTGTCGTAGCTGTTTGTAAACACGATAACTCAAAAAATAATTGAGATAATCCAAATCTGAAAGTCCCAAAAGTTTTGTATCCAATAAACTTAGTTTAAGTTCGAAGATGAGCCATTTTCGATTTGATGATGGGGTACTTGCCCCAAGAAAAACCTCAAAAAATTGACACTTTTGTATGGAAGGTACCTGTAAATCGACTCCGATTGGCTTCAAACTTTCTGGGCTTTCATTGTTTGAGAGAAAATGAGATTCTGAAAGTTTGAAACCAATCGGAATCGATTTACGGGTACCTCCCATACAAATTTTTTGAAATTTTGGCTAAAACTACCGATTTTTGGACAATTTTGTATGGGAGGTACCCGTTAATCGATTCTGATTGGCTTCAAACTTTCCGAGGTTTCATTTTTTGAAGAAAAAATAAGATTCTGAAAATTTCGTGTTGATCGCATGTGCAGAAGTTTGGTTTTTGGCCCTCAATTTTTTCCAAGAAAATTTCGACAAAAATTGAGGACAAAAAATCAAACTTCTGCAAATGCGATCAACATGAAACTTTCAGAATCTTATTTTTTCTCCAAAAATGAAACCTTAGAAAGTTTAAAGCCAATGAGAATTGGTTTACGGGTACCTTCCATACAAAATTGTCGAAGTTTTAGTTAAAGTGACCGATTTTTCACTTTATTTTTATTATTATATTTTCACTGCCTTTATTTCAAGAAAATTCAAAAAAATAACCAAAAGTACCTACAGACAACGCAGGCCAACGGTACGGAAAAGTTCGGGATTACCAATGTAATTCTTTTTATTTATGATAAAATTTGCAATGGTCTTTAATCATATTTTACCGCATTTTATAATGTGCAATTAGAGGAAAATGGGACTTTTTCAATGGTAGTGGAAATTAGATAGTGCAATCTCCATTATTTTTGAAAATTGAACGCGGATGTGTTACGCAGAAAATTGCAATTTCCTAAAAATAAGACCTCAAAATAGACATACTTCTACATAAAAATGTATTTTTCCAAAAAAAAATGCCTTACAAAATTAGTGATATCAGATGAAAAACCTCTAGACGAGGTTAAAATGGAGTGACGCTCCGTATGTGGATCTACCACTCAAAATGACTGATATCATTTTTAGTGACGCTTTAACGCTGTATTACCTCTAGATACAAAGTTCAGAAGTGTTTTTCGCATTCACTATTGTAAAAATTTATTCAAAATAAGGAAAAATATCGCGTCACTCCATTTTAACCTCTTCTTGAGGTTTTTCATCTGATATGGAATAAGCTGAGAACTGTTGTCAATTTTAAGTGGATATTTCTATGGAGACGGTTGGTCGATTCTCAAGTTCAAATGCATATCTTGAGCATGCACCTCGTATAAGAACCAAATTTTCTTGTGGCGCCATCTAGATGGCTTGCGTGGCGCAATGTATTTTAAATTGTTAGCTAAGTTATTTCAGCTTAGTACAGAACCATTTTTGCCAAAGATACAAAAGCATGCTCGAGGTATGTTCAAATGCATTTTCTGATGCAATGAGCTAGAGGCTTTCTAGCGTTACTTCATTCATACCAGATGTCCCATTAGGAAAAAAGTTCGAAATTACGTGTATATATGAGAGTTCGACTTTCAGCACTAGGGCGCTGTGATAGTGATTTGCGCATGTCACTGGAATTCGTTACAAATCTTCGACACCGTATAATGTGCACTAAAATGATTCGAATCATATGAGATTCGTGCGAATCATTTCAGTGATAAATGCCTCATTAACTTGAAATTCTACAGATAATGCTTTTTTCCCTATATACATTACCTGAACGATTGGAAATATTTACGCGAGATTTTACGTCTATTTCGAAAATTTTTATGATTCCGGAATATCCAGCAATTCCTGGTTTACCACCATTTCCACCATTTCCAGGTTGTGTACCAGTTTTTCCTTTCACCTCACTTTTCTTAAAGAAACCATAAAGACCACCGGGATGGTCTTTTCTTGTAAATTTGAAACCTTTGTCAGTCCACTGTTCTTCTTCGCATGTTGAGAAGGATGTAAAAAGGGAATGACAACCTTGCCATGGAGGTGGATCAGAGCCATTTACTCCATCTGTACCTATTGGTAACATTTGATGGTTAGTAAAATTAAATTATCTTGATACATATATGTATATACAACAAAAATTTGAATTTATATGCCATTGAAATGTGTTGCTTAGAATAAGAATGGGAATACAGAAGTGTTTGAACTGAATCGCAACAAGAAATTTGCTTCTTAAAAACGCAACATGAAAAATGGGAACTTTGAATGTGGTCAATTTGTGTGTCATATTTTTTGCAAAAACGATAAGAGATAACGAAATGTTAACTTGAACACAGTTTTGGGTTTGGTCAAGTCCTAAAACTTCACTGAACACACTAACTCATTATCTCTTATCATTTTCGCGAAAAACACAAAAACCACATTTTATTAAAAATTCCCATTTTCCATGGTGTGTTTCTAATGAAGCGACAATTCATGTTGCGTTTTTAAGAAACGAATTTCTTGTTGCGCATTTTCATTCTCACCAATACAAATATTCTATACATCAATATGAATTGAATTAAATGTGATTGATAATCAAATGATTCGAACCATTGCCACCATTTTGTCCAGCTCCACCGTCGGCCCCATTTGAATGAACGGACAACAAGTGTCCATTGTTGAATTCATCGCCAATGCCAAGAAAATGGCCGCCCGGTGTGCCATTATTACCAGCTTTACCGTGTTCTCCATTTCCAGGTCTATTATTTTGATCACCACTTTGAGCATCAGTCATATTTTCTCCTGGTTTTCCATCCAAGATAATTTTATGCTCGCGCAAAATTTGCCATACTGGTGATATGATGGAAAGTTTAACTTGTTCCCCCATTTTATTAATATCCGCATCGAAGATGATTGCGCTTAAAGCAAATATATCAATCGTTTTTGCATTCGACCAACACGAATGGTCGACAACATCACTAGCTCGTACCATATATCCTCGAACAATAAATTCACCATTTGGCGAACATTTCATATCTGGCGTTTCACCAGAAATATTGAGTAATCGTTTCAATGCGTTTAGTTCATTTGAATTTAATCCCAATCCTCTAATTTCGGAATATAAATAACTATTTATTGGTGTGAGAACTTGTTCCAAATCTGTATCGTCAATATTTTTTACATCATTTTCTTCGATCCGACATTGCGCTTGCATTTTTGATAAATCATCCTTTGGCAATGTTGTTCGGAATAATTCATTATGGAATTTTATCAAAAAATTATACCATTTTTGTGCGCTGGAAAGGCTTTCCTTCATTTTCCCAATTCTCTTTATACTATTTTCTGGCACAGTTTGTATGGTTTCGTTTCGAATTTTCAACAAAAAATCGAATGTTTGAATATGTGTCATGGTATCGTTTAAATTGTTTGGAGATACTCCAATTTCCAATTGATTCACGAATGAAATCAAATCAAACAAGCACTGTCGCTGATCGGTGGTGTTGATGGTGCTTAACACTCCATGGGCTAACAAGAATCTATCGTGTAAAACATCTAAATCAATAATATTCCTTTGATTACGAAATTGTTCAATATCTTCGCAAATCCTTTCAACATCAATTAGGAAATCATTTTCCAGAAGATTATCGATCATTTGATCAATGTGTGACCCATATTCCGAATTAATACGGCGTAAAACATTAGCTATTTCTTCAACATTTTGCAATGGCGAAATGACGAATGTTTTTTTGTTAGCTTTTGTTAGAAAATCTATATATTTGATATTATTTCTGGCATTATTCAATAGCTCCGACGATACACTAATTCTCAGAACATCAATTGCATTCAATAAACCATACACGAACGCTTTCAAGTCGTATGTTTTGATGTGGGTTAATAAATCGACTGCCGTTGATACTGTCTCGTTCAATGCCTCAACGTTTGGAATATTTGTTATTTTTTCCACGTAAAATTGCTGGATGGTATTCAATATGTTCGATATCGCTGGTCGTAGTTCATTGTTCAAAATTTCATCGAATAATTCATCGATATCATTTTTTAGCTCATCCGATATTGTGTAATCAAAATCATCCGACGTACTATT